AAATTCACAACAAAGACATCTCCAGGCACAGTTTCATTGAACAAACTGTCAAATGTATAAAGAAGAATTAACATGAATTTCACATGATCTCATCCAGAAAATTGAAGAGGTGGGAATGCTCTCCAATTCATTTTATGAAGCTAGTATTACCCTGATAGTGAAGCCAGATAAACCCACCCAGTGGTGCCACAGAAGAAAGGCCTGGTGATCTGCTTCCATAAGGACTAGCCAAGAAAACCCTATGGAGGAGTTCTACTCTATAACATATGGGATTGTATTAAAAAGAAAAACAAAAAACTGCAGACCATGTCCCCCATGAAAACATGCAAAAATCCTTAATTCTATTAGGAAATAGAATTCAGCGATGTGTAAAAGAATTATACGTCATGACCAAGTGAGGTTTATTCCGCTGATAAAAGGCTGGGTTAATATTAAAAATCAGTCAATGTAGTTGGCCATATTTAACAGGCTGGGGTAGGAAGAATAATGGTTCCAAAAAGATGCCCACATCCTAATGCCTGGGACCCGTGAATATGTTAGGCTGTGTGGCAAAGGGGATTTAAGATTGTAAATAGAGTCAAGGTTGCTAATCAGCCGACCTTAAAATAGATTATCCTGGATTATTCAGGTGGGCCCAGTGTCATCACTAAAAAAAAAAAAAAACCTGTTGCTGTGAAGTTGATTCCGACTCATGGCAACCCTATGTGTTACAGAGTAGAACTGCTCCATAGGGTTTTGTTGGCTGTAGTCTTTATGGAAGCAGATTGCCAGGCCTTTCTTCTGTGGCACAACTGGATGAGTTTGAACCATCAACCTTTATTTTAGTTTTTTAAAACACATCTATAATTTTATTTATTTTGTCATTGTTGTTGAGAATATACACAGCAAAACGTACACCAATTCAATAGTTTCTACACGGACCATTTAGTGACATGGATTACATTCTTTGAGACCATTCTCACCCTCTTTTTCTGAATTGTTCCTCCTCCAGTAACATACTGCCCCCTAAAGTTCCTATCTAATCTTTCCAGTAAAGCAATGTTTTTTTTTTTAAAGCACATTCTTTGGAACATTAGTTCTGAGGATGTTAGTACATTTTCTTCATAAAACAGGTGCTGAGACCAGATAAGAAAACACTGAACTAAACAGGTTTCTTCGTTTACTCAGAGGTTTTTTTTTTTCTATGCTTGAGTCTATTGTTGCAGCCAGTGTGTATCTTTTTTTTTAAGGTTTTTTTTAAATTGTCCTTTAGATGAAGGTTTACAGAACAAACTAGCTTCTCATTAAACAATTAGTACACATATTGTTTTGTGACATTGATTGCCAACCCCACAACATGTCAACACTCTCCCCTTTTCGACCTTGGGTTCCCCATCACCAGCTTTCCTGTCCCTCCTGCCCTCTTGTCCTTGCCCCTGGGCTGGTGCACCCCTTTAATCTTGTCTTGTTTTATGGGCCTGTCTAATCTTCAGCAGAAGGGTGAACCTCAGGAGTGACTTCATTACTGAGCTAAAAGGGTGTCCGGGGGCCATACTCTCGGGGTTTCTCCAGTCTCTGTCAGGCCAGTAAGTACGGTCTTTTTTTGTGAGTTAGAATTGTGTTCTACATTTTTCTCCAGCTCTGTCCGGGACCCTCTATTGTCATCCCTGTCAGAGCAGTTGGTGGTGGTAGCCGGGCACCATCTAGTTGTGCTGGACTCAGTCTGGTGGAGACCATGGTACTTGTGGTCCATTAGTCGTTCAAACTAATCTTTCCCTTGTGTCTTTGGTTTTCTTCATTCTCCCTTGATCCAGGCAGTGTGAGACCAGTGGAGTATCTTAGATGGCCGCTTACAAGCTTTTAAGACCTCCGATGCTATGAACTAAAGTTGAATGTAGAACATTTTCTTTATAAACTATGTTATGTCAGTTGAGCTCGATGTTCCCCAAGACCATGGCCTCCACAGCCCTCAGCCCAGTAATTTGCTCCCTCAGGGAGTTTGGACGTGTCTATGGAGCTTCCAGTGATCTTGCCTTGGACAAGCTGTGCTGGCTTCCCCAGTATTGCATACCCTCTTACCCTTCACCAGAGTGACCACTTATCTATTGTCTATTTAATGTTTTTCCATCCCCACCCCTCCCCTCCCTCGTAACCATCAAAGATTGTTACTTTTTGTGTGTAAACCTTTTCATGAGTTTATATAGTAGTGGTCTCATATGGTATTTGTCCTTTTGTGATTGACTTATTACACTCAGCATAATGCTCTCCAGATTCATCCATGTTGTGAGATGCTTCGCAGATTCATCATTGTTCTTTATCGTTGCAGTTTGTGTGCATGGACCATAGTTTGTTTATCCATTCATCTGTTGATGGGCATCTAGGTTGTTTCCATCTTTCTGCTATTGTGAACAATGCTGCAGTGAACATGAATGTGCCTATGTCTATTCGTGTGACGGCTCTTATTTCTCTAGAATATATTCCTAGGAGTGGCATTGCTGGATCATATGGTATTTCTATTTCTGCTTTTTAAGGAAGCACTATATTGTTTTCCAAAGCGGTTGTACCATTTTGCATTCCCATTAGCGGTGCAAAAGAGTTTCAATCTCCCTACAACCTCTCCAACATTTGTTATTTTCTGTTGTTTTGATTCGTGCCAGTAATGTCGGGGTGAGATGGTATCTCATTGTGGTTTTGATTTGCATTTCTCTAAGGCGAGTGATCGAGAGCATTTCCTCATATATCTGCTAGCCGCTTGAATGTCTTCTTTGGTGAAATGTGTGTTCATAGCCTTTGCCCATTTTTAAATTGGATTATTTGTCTTTTTGTTGTAGAAATGTTGGATTTTCCCGTAGATTTTAGAGAGAACTGCCAACCTTTAGGTTAGTAGTCCAGGGCAAACTGCACCATCCAGGGACCTCTGAAGTCACAAAGGTCCTTCGAATGGAAGAGAGAGACGGAAAAAGAGAGAGTGATTTTATCTGAGAAGGACTTGACCCCCACTGTTTTGAAGAGGGAGGAAGGGGGCTATGAGCCAAGGAATGTGGGCGGCCTCTAGCAGCTGGAACAGACAAGGAAATAGGTTCACCTCCAGAGCCTCAAGAAAGGACTGCAGCCCCACCAATACCTGGTTTTCAGCCCACTGAGACCTATGTAGCCCTTCTAACCTGCAGAACTATCCAGTAATAATTTGCATTGCTTTAAGCCACAACATTTGTCCTAATTTGTTAAGGTAGCAGCAGAAAACAAATACACAAGCTAGAGAAGAGACATAATCATATCCATTGATGAAGACAAAGCCTTTGACAAAATTCAACACCCGTGGAGGTTAGGGGGCCATCAGTTGGTTAATGGAGGGGGAACAGTTCAGAAAAGGAGGGTGAGAATGGTTGTACGACTTGAAGGATGTAATCCATGTCACCGAACTGTACGTGGAGAAATTGCTGAATTGCAATCTCTCAATGGCCTGACAGAGACTGGAGGAACCCCCAAAACTATGGCCCCCGGATGCTCTGTTAACCCAGAACTGAAAGCGTTTTCGAAGCCCACTCTTCAGACAAAGATTGGACAGGACTGTAAAACAAAAAATAATAGACATGAGGAGTGTGCTTCTTAGTTCAATCAGATACACGAGACCAAATGGGTGGCTCCTGTCTGGAGGCAGGATGAGAAGACAGGAAGGGACAGGAGCTGGTTGAATGGACACGGGAAACCTGGGGTGGAAAGCGGAAGGATGCTGTCACATTGTGAGAATTGCAACTCATGTCACAAAACAGTATGTGTATCAATTTTTTTTTTTTGGTCCCTCAGGGAGTTTGGATGTGTCTATGGAGCTTCCATGACCTTTCCTTGTACAAGTTGTGCTGGCTTCCCCAGCATTGTGTGTGTGTATAAATTTTTGTATGAGAAATTCACTGGAGCTGTAAACTTTCACCTAAAGCATAATTTAAGAAAAAAAAAAGGAAGCAGAAAAAAAAAATTGCTGAATTGGTGTATGTTCCTCTGGGTATATTCTCAACAACGAAAAAATAAAATAAATTTTTCAAAAAAGGGAAAAAAATCAACCTCCATTCATCATAAAAACCCTCAGCAAACTCAGAATACAGGGGTGCTACCTCAGCTTGGGGTCCCTGGGTGATGCAAACAGTGAACGCACTCGGCTGCTGACCGAAATGTTGGAGGTTCAAATCCACCCAGAGGCCCCTAGGAAGAAAGGCCTGGCATCCTACTTCCAAAAAATCAGCCATTGAAAACTCAGTGGAGCATAGTTTCACTCTGACATACATGGGGTCGCCAAGAGTTGGGGTCAACTCGGTGGCCATTGTTTTTGGATGTTTTGTCCTCCTTTCTGTCCACATCCCCTCCCTGCTCTGGCACCAGACTTCCTCTTTCTTCCCTCCAAGCATTTGCTGAGGCGGTCCCTCCACCTGGGGCTTCCTCCCTCCTGTCTCCCAGCCATCCCTCCTCCATTACATTCCTCCAGTGGGGAGCTCCCCAGGAGAGCAGAGAAGCAGGGATTTCCCTGGATCCCTGCCCTGCTGGGGCCCAGCCCCTGCCCCCGCCCAGTCCTGGCAGGGGAGAGAGCTCACAGCCTGACTGGCTGACAGAGCAGAGGAATTCCCCGGATACCTGTTTCTCTGCTTCCCGATCCAGCTGGGGCACCCACTGGAGCGAGGCGCTGGCCAAAGACTCTGGCCGGCTGGCCATGGCCTCGGCCCTGAGCCCGCCTCGGGCCCCCAAGCCCAAGGGCATCGTGCCTTTGCACTACTATGAGAACTTTCTGGAGAAGAAGGGGCCCCGAGACCGGGTAAGACATAAGACGGGCTGGGGAGCACAGGTGTGGCACCTCTGTGAGCCATGTCTCCTACCAGGCCAAGGAGGGGCCTGGATGCACCAGGACACGCATAGGGGCTGGAAAGGGATCCGTCCCTCTGTCTGTCTCTGTCTCTCTGTGTGTGTCTGTCTCTGCGTGTCTCCTCCTCAGATTTGATCTCTTTCTCTGTGTCTCTCTGCCCGTCTCCATCTGTCTGTCTCTATCTCAATCATTTATGTCTGTCTCAATCTTTGTCTGTCTGTCTGTCTCAATTATTTGTGTCTATCTCTGTCTCTCTCTCTGTCTCTGTCTCAGCCATTTGTCTATCTCATTTCTGTCTGTCCCTCTGTCTTTACCTCTCTCTCTTCACCCCTGTTTTTGTCTTTCTCTCTGCTTCAGCTCTCTTTCTGTCACTAAGATACAAACAAGACCAGGCACTTCCTCCAGGAAATGGGGAATTCTCTGAGTCCTGTCCCTCCTCCCACTGTCCCAGCCCAGAAGTGACTCCACGAACCTTGGCCACAGGGATCAAGGGGGACAGGGTGTATGTGGAGACAGTGAGTGCTGCTGGGGCACATTCGGAGGACCAGATACTGACCCTGGGACCAGTGTGTGTGTGTGTGTGTGTGTGTGTGTGTGTGTGTGCGCGCGTGCGCGTGTGTGTGCTTGGTCCCTGCTCCTCGCTTTCCCTTAATGCCCCACTTTTCCTTCCTCCCCACCCCCATACTCATCTTCTGATACAGCCTACATCGACCACTCCCTGCTTTTCCCTGCCCAGCTCCACGCCTTCCACACTTCAGTTCCCCCCACCCAGAACGCTTTGCCCTCTGCTTCCGCACCTCTGAACCCTCCCCAACCATCAAAGCATCTAGGGGCAGTAGATCTCAGTGGTTAAAAAGATCATAGCCCCCCAGTGCGAGAGACTCTGGTTCAAACCCCTGCTCCATACTGTCCTCACGCCAAGGCCTTATAAAAGTGATACTAAGTCTTTGAGCCTCAGTTTCCTCTGTTATGGAATGGGCAGAATGGGGCTGCAGCCACAGGTACAGGAGAGGGGTTGTTCTTAGCAGGCTCAGGACCTGGCTCAGAGCAAACACCAACACTTTACGTGTATGAATGCGCTGAATTCTCATGACACTTCTGCAGTTGTTAATAATCGGTTAAGGAGTTGATAATAACCGCACCATTTTATAGATGAGGAAACTGAGGCACGGAGAGCTTAAATAACTTGCCCAATGGTACATGGCTGATATATGATGAAGCAGATCTGACTTCATGAGCCAAGCGTTTAACCATATTGAGTTTAATCAGTTATTGCTGTATCCCCAGTGCCTGGAACAGTGCCTGGCATACAGTAGGCACTCTGTAAATGTTTGTTAAATGTGTATACGCGTGTCCAGATGGATACATGGATGGGTGGATGGGTGGATTGTGGATAGATTGATGGATGGATGGATGTGTGGATGGATGGAGGGATAGGTGAGTGGATGGATGGATGGATGGATGTGTGAATGTGTGAATGGGTGGATGGATGGGCAGATGGATGGATGGGCAGATGGTTGGATGGATGTGTGGATGGATGGATGAATAGATGAATGGGTGGATAGATGGATTGATGGATGGCAGCTGTCAACATAAGTACCATCCTCATTATCATTATAGTCTAATTAAAGTGGCTCCTCCTTCAGGAAGTCTTCCCAGATTTCCCCAGTTGCAGTACCTCTGTCCTCCTCTGTGATTTCATGGCCCAGACTTCGTCCCTCCCTAGGGGACCCTAGTTTCTCTTGCCTGCAGGATTTTAGTCATAAGAATGCATTTAGAACTTGATCTATTTAGAAAACAGAGACTGTGTCCCACTCATCCTTTTTTCCACAACAGAACTAGGTACAGAGTAAGTGCTTAGGGACTACTGGGTGAACAAACCCTACGATCCTACAACCTGAGCTGAACCAGCCCCTTGGACCTCCAGAGACTTAAGACATTTGGATTTTAGAACCCTGGGGGAAATCTTGAATCTGCAGAACTTCTAGTGTCCAGAACTTTGTGAAATTCAGAGACTGTAGACTCAGCATCTAGCCCAGAACCTGGCACCTAGGAGATGCCAATATATATTAATGGATGGATGGATGGGTGGATGGAAGGATGGGTGAGTGAATGGAAGGATGGGTGAGTGGATGGGTGGGGGTGTGGATGGGTGGATGGATGGATGAGTGGGTGGGTGGATGGATGGATGGATGGATGGATGGATGGAAGGACGGAAGGACAGATGGCTGGATGGATGGGTTGGTGGATGCATGGATGGGTGGGTGGATGGGTGGATGGGTGAGAGGGTGGATGGATGGAACACCATAAAGCCAGTTAGCTCAATTTAGTCCTGAACCCCACCCACTCCCACAGATTGGGAGGCTGCTTCAGGTTCCCCATTCAATCAAGGTTCCCTTCTGGGCTTTCCTTGGAGGATAACAAATCCTCCAGCTGCAGGGTCATAAGCGGAAGCGGGAGGGCCTCTGAGAAGGCAACATTTGATCAAAAACCCAAAGCAAGTGATGAAGGTACCTATGTCCAGAACTGGAGGAAGAGTATCCAGGTATAGAGAACAGTCAGTGCAAAGGCCCTGAGGTAGGGGTAAGGTTGTTGGAAGTACCTGGTTTTGCCACCTCACCTCCTTCTCTTTCTCTGCCTCTGGTCCCCAGGATTACAGGAAGTTCTGGGCAGGCCTCCAGGGTTTAACTCTTTATTTCTACAATAGCAATCGGGACTTCCAGGTAAGGATGAGAATGGGGGTTGAGGAAGTGGTTCTCCCTTGACCCCAGGGACCAAGCAGAGAATGTGGGCGGTGCAGTCAAGCTAGCAGCTGTGACTTCAGGGGGACTGAAGGGCCATGGCATGGTGTACAGACCTCCTGCCTCTGTGTCCCCCAGCACGTGGACAAGGTAGACCTGGGAGGATTTGTGAAGCTCACAGATGAGGCTCCCCGGAGGAACTTGCATGACCCTGGAATCCACTTCAGCTTGGTCCTCTGGAACCAGGAGATCAAGTTCAAGGTAAGTCCCTTGGGGGCTGCTGGAAGAAGCTCCGTCTCCATCGTGCCAACCATTGGACACACACCAGGATGGCATGGTGACCTTGGACAAGTCACTCAACCTCTCTGGGCCTCAGTTTCCTCAACTGAAAAATGGGATAATAGATATAAAAACCAAACCACACTATTGACACTGAGTCGATTCCAACTCATAGCAACCTTATGGGACAGAGTAGAACTGCCCCCATAGGGTTTCCAAGGAGCAGCTGGTGGATTCGAATTGCCCTACCTTTTGGTTAGCAGCTGAGCTCTTAACCACTGCGCCACCAGGGCTCCAATAGGTATAAAGTGCCCTGAAAAGATCTGAGCCACAAGGATCATTAGCACCAACATTCAGTCTTCCAGTAAATATTTATTGAGCACCTACTGTTTGCCAAATGCTGTTCTAGTTGCTGGGGGACACAGCAGTGAAGAAGACAATCAAAAATTCCTAGTCTAGTGGGGGAGGCGCACCATAAACAATATAAATGTTTACCATGTACAGCGTCAGATGGCGGCAAATGCCAGGGAGACAAGTGCTAGGGAAAAGGGGAAGGGGATGGGATTGCAGTGTTAAATAGTGTGATCAGGCACGGTGAGGGAGCCGCAGTGTGGATATTTGTGGAAAAGTGCTTCAGCTGAGGGAACAGCCCGTGCGAAGGCCCTGAGGCAGGACCAGGCCTGGTGAGTTAGAGGAACAGTGAGGAGGCCCATGTGGCTGGAGCGGAGTGAGCGAGAGGGAGAGAGGAGAAGGGGAAGGTAGGGAGGGGACAGGGCAGGTTGTACGGGGCCCTGTGGGCTGCAGGGAGGACTTGGGCTTTTACCCCAGTGAGGTGGGAGCCCCATGAGGGTTTAGACCATAAAAGGTTAATTTTTGGGGGTGCTCTTAGCTCCTATGCTGCAGTGTCTATGGTTAATTTTTCTATGTTAATGTAACATTAAAAATAATAATAGTTCATACTTACTAAGGACTTCATATACACAAACACCATCCTAAATCAACCTATGCTAACATTTAATCTTCAAAACTACTCTGAAACAGGAACTATTATTCCACACCCCCATTTCACAGATGAGTAGACTGAGGCTCATCTGCATGGACTCTCCTTTTCTTTCTCTCCCTTAGGTGGATAGCCTGGAGTCTAGGGAGATTTGGAAAGGCTTCATCTTGACTGTGGTGGAGGTGAGAGTGACCGCCCCCTCCCTTCCTCCCCCACAAGGACTCAGCGATCCTCTTCATTTCCATCCTTCACTCCCCAAACAACCGTCTAGAGTATAGCTCACAGGTCTCAAACTGGCGGACCATGGGCCAAGTATAGCCACAAACATTTTTTGTCTTGCCAACAAAGTGCTAAAACATTTTAAATTAGCTGCCATCGTTTAAACACCATGCGTTTTAGTCTGCATTCCTGGTTTTGCTTTTACTCTTTTATTCCCTGCTTGGCCCCTGCAGGTTACTGAGTTTGAGACCCTCGACTCTAGCATCTCCTCTGTCCCTCCTCCCCATCACCAAAGCACTCTCTTTTTTCTTCGAATCCCTTTCTGGAAGCTCTCTCTGCCCCTGAGGTCTCAGGCGGCTCTGGAGCCCCCAGACCCAGGTTCCCATTCCAGTTCCTCACTCTGGCCTCAGTTTACCCCTCTGTGACATGGGCACAGCCTGCCCGTCCCCTGATGGCTGGGCGCAGTCGCTATGTCCCGATCTCCTCTCAGCTCCGTGTCCCATCCAACCTGACCCTGCTGCCCGGACACCTGTACATGATGGCGGAGGCCCGGGACAAAGAGGAGGCGCGCCGAGCTCTCGAGAAGCCCTCGTGAGTGGCCTGCCTGGCCTGAGGGGATGGGGATGGGGGCAGAGTGTGGGGTGTGGGGCTGGGGTGGTCAGTGAGCAGGGCCACTCGGAGTTGGGTCTAGGGTTGAAGACAGGACTGCATCCGGGCTGGGGCGGGGTGAGGTCCCACGCTGAGGGCAGAAAAGCCTCTCAGGAGGCGAGTCCAGGTACTTGTGGGTGGGGCTGGGTCTCCGGGAATGGATCTAGATGCCTAGAGGTGGGGCTGGGTTCCCAGGGGCTGGTCTAGGTTCTTTGTGGGGGCTGTCTGGGGCGGGAGGAGGCGGGATTATGGCGGGGCTGGGTCTCCAGAGGCGGAGCCTGGACTGGGGGCAGGACAAGTTCTCAGGGTGGGGTGGGCCATGTGCATGGGGCCGGGTCATGTGTCGCGTGGGCGGGGCCTCCAGAGGCGGGACCTGTCTCCGAGTGGGTGACGCGACCTGCTGCAGGTGCTTCTTGAAGGCGAGCCGACTGGAGGCGCAGCTACTCCTGGAGCGCTACCCAGAGTGCGGGAACCTGTTGCTGCGGCCCAGCGGGGGCGGCGCCGGCGGCGTGTCGGTCACTACCCGCCAGATGCTCAACGGGTGCGCAAGGACGGCGACGGAGCCCTGAGTGGGAGGCGTGGTCAACCATGGGGCGTGGTCAGAGACAGGAGCGAAGCCGGCCCTGAAAGCTAGTCAGCCTGTGGGCGGAGTCAGATGGTGAGGGGCAGGTCCTGGGGGCGGAGCCAGAGCCCTTCTCTGGGAATGGGGTCCAGAGTCACATCCAGGGGACAGAATCAACCCTATAAGCGGAGTCCTGACCAGGGTCTTCCTTGGTGGCTGAATAAGTCTCTAGTCGGAGCCACATTGGGAGTGGTGTCAGAGCCTGGGGCTAGATTTTAACGTGGGGAGAATTCAGAACTCGGGTGGGGCGAATCTTGGGGGTGGAGCCAGTCGGGCCTGATCCTCCCTGGGGGCAGGGCCAGGATACGAGGCGGGGTTTTCTCGGGGGGTGGAGTCAGTCGAGGGCTGTTCCTGCTGGGCGGGGTCAACGCATGGGGCGGGGCCTTCCTTGGGGGTGGAGTCAGTAGGGCCTGGTCCTCCTGGGCGGGGTCAGGACTCGGGGCAGGGCTTCCCCTGGGGGTGGAGTCAGTCGGGACTGTTCCTCAGTGGGCGGGGTCAGGACACGGGGCAGGGCCCTCCCAAGGGTCAGACTGCGAGCCTGAGCCTAGTCCCCGCTCGTCTCCTCTTGGCCTCGCAGCTCGCCGGTGATCCGGCATTACAGGGTGAAGCACGAGGGGCCCACGTACGTGATCGACGTGGAGGAGCCGGTGAGCCATGGGCCTGGTCGGGACCCGGGAGGCTAAACGGACTGGTGAGGCACCCCCACCCCGCCCATTTCCCGCTTCCTGACCGCGCCCCCCACCCGCCCCCAGTTCTCCTGCCTGTCACTGGACGCCGTGGTCAGCTATTTCGTGACGCACACCAATAAGGAGCTGGTGCCCTTCCTGCTGGACGAGGACTACGAGAAGGTGCTAGGTGGGTTGCAGCCTCGGGGAGCTGGGGGCCCAGTCCGCGCCACTCCCGCCCCCGCCCCGACGGGGATCCCCTTGGGCTAGGCCCCGGCCACCGCGCCCCCTCCAGGCCGCCCTCTCTGTTCCAGGATACGTGGAGGCGGATAAAGAGAACGGCGAGAGTGTGTGGGTGGCGCCCTCGGCCCCCACAGCCCCCGGCCCAGGTGATGCCCCTTCCCCCAGGCCAGGGCGGCTGGGGCAGAATAGAGGAGGGGTTGGGGCCCACATCTAGCTATACCCGTCAGTGAGCACGTAGGCATATCGTGTGCCCGACCTTGAACCCAGAGATGCAGGAACCCGGAAATTACCCGGACTCTGCCCCCAGGTCGGTGAGGGGGGCAGAGCCGGACAAGACACTCCTAACACAGTGGGATCAAACCTGGGGCTGGGGGGTGGTGGCGGCTAGAGTTGGAGAGAAGCAGGGG